ATGAAAGTTTGGCTTGTGAATGGCTAGGAATTGTCCACCTGTGCATGCCTACGCAATTTAAGGATATCTCCTATACAGTTAACTAGGAATTGTACCACACCTACCCGACTGTAAAACCATGATTATTACCTTGAATCCATCGACTATAAATAGAGGCTCCTCTCTTATTTACAAGATCCGAGCATTTTTAGTTTTCTAAAGCAAACTCTCTCTCTCTCTGTATTTAAATTCTCTCTAGATTGTAACTCAGCTTGTTGTACGCGACTTGACTGTAATCATCAATTAATATAAATATAGCGGACGTATGATTCGCTTTTGAGCATCCGAACAACTCTAAAAATTGTCTCATATTTATTCTTTCGTTGCACATTTCCATATCACATATAATTTCTAAGTCTGTTTAATACTTTACAGTGTGAGTTGTTGGTGTCAAAATCAAGCATCAACATATGGTAAGTGATTATTTAGTAGGACTCAAATACAAAACTTTTAGGTAACTTGAAGGCTAAGTATTACCATCATAAGTTGAGTGGTTTGGATTGTCGTTTTTAAGTTTGTTTTTAAGTATATTCCTATGAAAAACTTAGATGATTATTTTAAAATAATTAGTGGATAGAAGAATATACTACCTAAATTAAATAAATTATCAATCTCCATTGTTGGATTCCTTTAATTATTGATGTATAATTTATCATATAAAAAACTTAATGACAATCGACAGATAAACACATTATTCCCAATAATGGTGCCAAATAAGTTCTAAAATGGATTGATAAGTACGTTGACAACTTTATCAGATCTCTTGCCCCACTGATTATCAATTATGTAGAAAAAAATTACACATGGGCTCACATATATTTATACATAGAAAACTCCGAAAAGAACCTCAAAGTTTTCATAATCAAAGAGATTACCGTTTGATTAAAAGATTAATCTGGTGAGTTATTGGCCAATAAGTAACACAATCAAATAGCTTTTTCTTTTTGCTTTTCGCTGTTTAGTCTGTGGGGTCTTGGTATCCAAAAACACAAGGCGATGTTGTTCTGAGATTGGGGCACTTGGGGGATGAAAAAATGGTTATCGTCTTGGTCTCATCCACAAGTATGGATAGGGCTATAAATGTGGCTTGGAAAACAAGACTGGTAATGTGTGGCCTGGGAAATCGGAGAAAGATGCTTTAAAGAGTTTCATGTGGTTGTCTTTCTTTTAATGATTCGTGTACATATTGCTTCAAGTTTTCAACCGTTTGGATCAGACGTAGACCCCTGTGCTTTCAAAATGAAGCAAAGTGTCGCGTGTTGTATTGGCTGGTTGTTGCGGTATTCTTCCCTTCACACTTTTTAAAAGCACACGGAAGCCTGAAAAAGTGAAAACTTTACAGGTGGCGAAATTCTACAGAAAAAAGTACTTCCATGATTTTATCATTGTTTGAATTTTCTTGGCTGCCAGGGTTTCGGATTCCTGCAATATGAACTCTATCCAATTCATTCCCGAATTTAGTTCTAACCAGTGGCGGACCAGGACTGTTGGCAGGGGGCCTTGTGGCACCACCATTGTTTCTCAAACTACTAGTAAAAAATTTAAAAAAATCACTAAATCTTAAAAAAAATATATATAATATTAATAATATAAAAAAAAATAATACAATATTTTACTATTTGAATAAATTCATAAAAAGTAAAATTTTGAACAAATTTTGTTGAAAATAACATTTAATTCACGAGAAAATATAAGAAAATTTTTACGTGAAAAAACCTCTTCAATTAAAGAGAGTAAAAACCACGAGAATCTAACGATCTACTTAAATCTAATATAATTAAAAGAGTTTACAACAATCACAATCCACAAAAAATGTTCAACACAAATTTTTTATTTCTCATTTTTTTTTCTTTGCTTTTAAAGATTATAATATAAATTTTAATGACTTTGATCAGACATAACTTGAGCTAAAGTCAACCAAAACTTAAATTAAATCAACGTTTCCTTAACTTTTAATATGAATGAATAAAAAATGGGGAGATTTTCTTAGTATAAACATAGACAATAACTTAAACTTCTTTAATAATTTTGAGCAGTTAAACGGTGACGTTTAAAATGTAGGAAAATGGTGGGTAAAGGATGAAAAATAACGTTCAGTAAAATATAGTTAAAGTTTAATTTGGGAAAATAAGAATACTCTTAAACATAAAATAAACTCACAAGATTCATATCTTTTTTTATCAAATTGAAATAAAAAACCTCTAAAAAATAAGCATAATTTAACCCTAAATAAACTAAAATGAAATGAGTATTGAGTAATACATATATCTAAAATTTGAGAAAACAAAAAATAAAATTAATTGTAATTCTATGATGAGTGGAGGTTTCAACAATTTCAATTTTCAAAAGTAAAAAAAATGGTGAGGTTGGCTAAGGGGGTGGGTCCGCCCCTGTGTCTAACATTAGATAATTCAGATTTCTACGTCATTCAGATGTTTTTGTTGAGTGAAACTAAATTGAAAGCTCAACTGGAGGCTGCAAAATTCTCAACAATATGGGAAATTCCTTTTCTGAATATTTTCCATCTTAATTATATGGATTACTGTAGAAAATAATTCAAGGTGGCCTGTTCCTTTCATGCCCAACATAAGAAGAAACGAAATGTAGCTCAGCTTACTAAAAGAATATGGGAAGTGATTTTTAGTCCACACTTTTTTTGTTTTTGTCTTTAGCTCCCATCTTCAAGTTACGTCCCCCACTTAAACTTGAACACACGGGCTAAAGACAAAACTAATGGGGCCTAAAAGTCACTTCCCAATTACTTTATGCAATTTATCAGCCTGTGGGCCTAAAGATTTATAGAATTTTGAGAGGTGTTATTTAAACCAATGTTCTGAAATCCAGACCGGATCAGGCGGTCGAACCGGTCCAATCGGGTTTCGCTCACATTTTCGGTTTAAAAAGAGTAAAAAACTGGAATTTTACTTTAAACTATTTCCAGTTGGACCGCCTCACTGTAGCAAACTCGCGATCCAACCGATATGACAAGGAAATCGGTCCACACGCAATCCGGTTTAACATATGAAATAAAATAAAAAAGTAAAAACCACAATGTCAAAGTGCCCCCAAATTTTTTAATATGAAAAATTGAAAATTGAAAATTTCCTTTTGCGTTCAGCTGTGTGCTACTGAGTTGTGTCTGCCACTTTCTTTTCTCCTTTTTCATTTTGGTTTGCTACTTTGCCTGTTTGTCATTCGCGATCTGCATTCTCTCCAGTCCAGTCCTCCTCCTCCTCATGTCCTCCATTCGCTATCTCAGATCTCCTTCAAGCTTCAGCTTCAGTGGTTCAGCCTTCAAGTTTTCGGTCTGCTACTCTGCTTCAGTGCTTCTTCCTTGCCGTGGCTGGTTTACTGCAAGTCTTCATTCTTCAACTTCAAGTCTTCAACGGTTCAACCTCTTCAATCATCACCGTCGCCATCTAAAAGTTTGCTTCTTGCTTGCCGTTGCTGGTCTATCGGATTAGTCACTGCAGTTCAGATTTCAGCCGTTGGTGGATTTATATTTGATATTACTTTGTAATACCTTTAATGATGTTTGAACTTTGAAACTTTAGAGTTTAGACTTGAGGATTGAATTTGTTAACATAACTTTGATGGTTTTATTATTATTGCAGGGTTAGATTGATGGTTTTTAAATTTTAGTTAGATGAAATCGTGAAAAACCTGGATTTTTTTTCCTTTTTTTCGTTTTTGCTGATGTCACCGGTCCAACCGATTGGTCGGACCGGTCCAACAATTCGAGCCGAGAACCAGCCATTTGACCGAGTCGACTCTTGGTCCGGTTTTCAGAACATTGATTTAAACACAGTCTAATTTCTTTCGGAGTTTCAATAATACTTGAAAATGTAGTTTATAAATATTTTGAGCTTCATTTCAAAATTGTCCCCTTTCTAATATTTTTGTTTTAAATTTCAACTTTTTTTTTTTTTTTTTTAGACGCAGTATGATTTCCAACAAGCTTATTCCCTCTTCACGTTTGACCCCTCATAATTTATCTCTTTAAATATTTAGAGGTGGGCAAAGTTGGGCCCGAGCGGTCCCAAGCCCAACCCCTTAAGGATAGGGTCGGTCCTATGTAAGCATGGTAAATATCCATTTAGCCCCTTAATTTTTATATATTTGGGGTAATAATATTTATGTAATGGGATTCTTGTGATTTATCAGGGGTGATTTTTAAATATGTAATTAATTAGTCAATAAATATGCTGAATTTTTTTAAATTACAGTTTAACCCTTAAATTTATTATGTATTTTATATTATAGAGGATTTTGGTTATTTGATAAGGGTTATTATAAAATTAACCAGTATCAGGCCCGGGCCCGGTCACCCCTCCCCAGAGCCTGCCCGATCCTACAAGGACGGGTCTTTGGGCCCGGGCCCAAAGCTCTAACCACAGTAAAAGAATTATACTTGTTTGAACATAAAAGTCCCGATTAAATTTCGGGCCTAGGCCTAATACAAAAGTGGAGACCGATCTTTAGCTCACGAGAATCAGGTCAGATTGGGCTGGCCTCAATAACTGGGCCTACGGTGAACACCGCCCACCCCCAAAATTCTGGAGATGTTTACCATTTAAATGTTGTTTAGGGAGACTATCTCAATTCTCAGCAACCCAAAGTTGAGCTGAACAGTGGAGACAATTCACAAGATCTCCATTAATAGATTTGTGGATTCATTTTTCCCCGTACGTAATCTCATGTGATCATCATTTCTCACCCTATGCTTTTAGTGAAAGGATACCAAACCAAAGCCCTCTTTCCCTGTTCCACCATTGCCCACTTTTTTCTGGAACCACTTTTGACCTTCCTGCAGCTATTAGAATTTGAACTGTTCAGGTCAAACAAACCTCGTTTCATCATCACTCAACACTTACAGTAACTCCCACCAAAATATAAAGTCAAACATTTCAAAACAAATTCTATGAATTTACATTAAAAAAAAAAAAAGAAAAAAAGAAAAACTATACAATGCTTCCATTTCCATTGGTTGATTGATTCACCAAGTCATTATCCTTGGGTTTTTTAACCCACAAGAGGCTCTCTCCCCAATCCCAGATATGCAAAACTATGAAAGTTCCAATTCCTCCTATCAAACCATAAGCTATTGAATATGTCATTGGCATTAAGATTAATGTCACAAATGCAGGAATGGCTTGCCTCATATCATCCCACTCGATCTCCACCACAGATCTCATCATCATAACACCAACCAAGATCAACGGTGGACCAACTGCCCATGCAGGAATTGACGCCAATAACGGTGTGAAGAAAAACGCCAGAAAGAAATAGCCTGCTACCGTTAACGCCGTCAGACCCGTTCTCCCTCCTTCTCTTATACCCGTTGACGATTCGATGAAAGCCGTTACGGGAGATGTACCAAGAAGGGAACCCACCACGATTGATGCAGCATCAGACATGAAAGCAAAATATTGACCCTCGAAATCACCGTTAACGTCTGTGAACCCAGCAAATCTAGCCATTGAATATAATGTTCCAGTGGTATCGAGTATATCTACATATAAAAACGTGATCAAAGCTTCCCAAAAACTGCCTGTACTCAAACCATTAAAACTGAGGGCCCCAGCTGTGGTCCTGATCACATGCACATCAACCACTTTTTTGAAATACTGATATGCAGAATTTCCTGATGGAGTATTGGGAAACGCCGTCACAGCTGTGTTACGGAACCATGAGATGATTGTCACAAAGACTATACCATAAATCATTGCCCCTTTTATATTTTTCACCAAACAATAAGCGATTATAACAAAACCAACTACGCCAAGCCAAAATGTAGGACTTTCCATTTGATGATTTAAGCACATAATATCCCCAGAAACTGAACCTCCTGGTAACAAACTGACGGTTCCGTTTGCTGCCGTTATAACCGTAGCTAACCCCGCCCTGGAAGATCGTGGACAAGCACCAAGAGTAACTAAAGTTGAAGAACTGTAGCCGATAAGACCGATACCTTCATTGTTTTGTAACCCGATAAAAGCAAGAAACAAACCGATTCCGGCTGAGGAGGAGACCCGGACCGGTTTGGGAACGACTTTCGCGAGTTTGACTCGTAACCCAATTGCTGATATGAAGAGAAAAATTAAACCTTCGATGAAAATGGCTGTTAAGGCATTTTTGTATGTTACGTTACCGGACCCATGAAAGCCTACAACTGTGTATGTAAAATAAGCGTTTGCGCCCATACCGGGAGCTAAAGCTAAAGGCAAATTAGCGAATATGGCCATAATGAGACAGCCGATAAGTGAAGAAGCTACAGTGGCTACAATGAGGTCTTTACGAGTTTTTTCGAGACAATCCGAGTAGCCTGTGTTAACTGGAGGAAACTTACACGAGTTATCGGGTTGGATGATTCGGTGAGTTGGTCCAGTGCAATTCGAGAGAGGGATATTAGAGTCTGAACAAAGTGGGACACAATCAGATACGCTACACGTGCCACCAGAATCGGTGAGGATGCTGGCGTTAACAGCTAAGATATAAGCCATGGTCAGAAACGTGGCCGTTCCAGCTCGTAACTCGGTGGTGCAAGTGGTGTTCCTCTGAGCGAGTTTGAATCGCTTCCCAACCCGTGTGTTGGCCACGTACGAGTTCAACCTAGTTGAAAGAGAGAGCTCCTGAGGTTCCGGTACTGGTAGAGTCGCCATTCACAACAATGTTGGCTTTACAAAGGGAGGTAAATTAAATTGTTGGGAAAGTGGGCTCTTCTTCTCAAGGAATGAAGACGATTATAACCAATGAGTTGTTGAGATACCAAATTGATTAGCTTTAGAATACCTTAGTAAGAGAAGAGATGAGATTGAGATACATATATAAGCAAAAAAATTCGAATCATGCTTGGATAGTAGGAAGGTTTCGTGGGGCCATTTGTTACGGAGGAAAAGGCTAAAATTTAGTTGTCCATCATTATGGGGATTTTAGTTTTGCAAATATTGGAGTAACCAATGTTAGATTAAGAGTCAAAGTTATGGAATTTGTCTTTTTACTATTGAAACACACATTCCTTTTTCATCTGTAATTTTAATGGCGGATCCATCTCACTCTCTGGGTCCAAGTTTAAAGTGGATTACTTCTTCTTTTGATATTTCCTTTGCCTTTCTGTTTACACTTTTGAGTGGGCGTTTTTGGCTCTACTTAGCAGAGCGGTAGCGAGTTTACGTTAAACAATAACCCTTCATCAAACAAACTTAAGATGTACAACTCTATCAATACTATACTGATAATTTCAAATAAAAATCTAATAATTATAAGTAAATACAAATTAAATGTCTTTATTGATTATGAGCTGACAAGGGTGATGATTTATCTATTGAGAGTTCCTTGTAAATGACTGAAGGTTATTAAAATGGAGACTCTAGATAGAGCATTCATGTCACCAGCTGCAAACACCACGATGATCTTGTTTTTAAGTGTTTTCAAGCAGAACTGATATCGCCATTTGCAAAGATTAAAGCAGAACACAAGGACGGAGACGACAAGCAGGTGTTAGCTGATAAAAACTGTCTTTTGCTACTCATTAAGAGAACGTTTGATATTTTTTATAAACTTAGAATTCATGATAATGGACTGATTACAGTTCCTTAATCTTTAATAAAGGTTATTGCAGACCAAGTTGGCTGCATGACAAGAATAAACATGCACTCAAAAACTGTAAAGTTAACAGAGACAGATACATAATTTTTATGGAATCGGGGGTCCAGTCTGCTTTAAAATGGCTTCACTTTGAAAGGTCTTAAGGAACTGAAGCTCTGTTTGGTATGTTGCTTTACAGTGTGTACATTGAACTTGTAGTGGGCTCAACTCAACACAAACTGATGCCCTTAGCTTTCTCTAATTAGTGGAATATTACTTGTGGATGAAGTGAAAATTAGTTTCGTTTCATTGCATTTCACATCCCTTTTCTTTTAGCTAGCTTTCTTCCAATCACAACAGACCAAAATCTGTGAACAGTCTGTCATTTAACCGAGATGGGATGATTCGCTTTCTATTTCTTCGCTTGGCTTTTCTTTTTTGGGAACATTTACTTATCTAGGAACAATCACAACATCATGAAAATGTCAAACTTTAGGTGATCTGATTGCTAAATGCCAACATTCATGACATTTCAGATCATTCATCACTTCAGTCTGAGGAAATTATGCAAGTATGGACCACCCTTTAATGGTTTCTTTCAACCAATGAGCTATGAAAACCATTAATAATAATGTCCCAAAACACATCCATGGAAGCAAAAATTCCATTTCATGAAATATGCTACCAGTTAAGCTTGCTATATGGGCACATACAGTGCATCAGAACTCTGATAAATGTCAAATCAATGGTGGAATTTGACATTACGAGTGCCTTAAAATAAAAAAAAATAGCTTTTAAGAAGTAGGACCCTTTAATAATGGATTACAGAGAATTGCAAGATTAGGTTCTCTTCTTCACTACTTTTTCTTCAAATAGGTCTGCAAAAAACAAAAGAGCCCCCCTCCCCCCCCCCCTACCCTCTCTCTTTGTTTTGATTAGGATTAGAATATGTGACTAGGGAAAGTTAATAAAGTCAATAAATAAAAACTTTTATTGAGTTTGGCAGAAAGTTGAAATTAATTGACTCTGGTAAAGTAGCCAAGTTATTGGTGGTAGGTTAGATATACACAGTATATAATTTGACTAAGCTCCAACGGAATGGCACAAATTTATGTTCTGAAATTTGGTTGATATGCTATTTGCTACCAACTCTTCTCCTAAAAATTAAAGCTTTTTTCAAGACAAGATGTTTCACCCATTTATCAATCAAATGAGACAGACACATACTTACAATTGGTATTACAACTTTCAATTATCCTTCCGTACATTGGTTTAAATCTCAATTATTCTAAATTTGGTCAGTTTTCCCTTGGGTTATTTACACGTGTCCCTTCTCAATTTGATTAAAAAAATCTTAATTCATTATTGTGATTAGTTGTTTCTAAGTAATACATGACAATTTGTTGTTAGGCATAAGTGATCTAATAACCACAGTTGGATGATCGAGTAGGGTAATTGAGACTCTTGGATGTATTAATAAAGAAGTCTTGAATTTAATTATCCTCGATTGCTAATAAGGGTGACCACTGAACGAAATAGAGACAACAACAGGAACAAAATATAATAGTAAAACAAAACAAACAGTAAATAAAGAAAATAATACGCGCGATTTACCCTGGTTCACCCAATGTGGGCTACGTCTAGCTGAGTCAATATTATTGCAATATGCCTCATCTCTCTCGTTTACAATGAATGAATTGCTCTCACTCCCATAACAAGAGAAAAGTATATTTATATACTAGGTTTAAGAGATTAAACCTAGTTTTACAAGGATTCTTATTCCTAAGTCAAACCCAAAGAAGAATTAGTAACTTAAAAGAAATCTTATAGCGGTTATACATGGAAAAGCGCAAAACCGCCTACGGGCTCGGGGGCGCTGCCCCCGCGACCCCCGCCCGCTGACCGGTCAGCGGGACCCCTGAGTGCGTCTCCGTTACCCATTAATACTGAAGTAGTCGACAACTCCAACAACCACTAGAGGGTTTATCCAGTCGTTAACTTCAAAATCCGAAGGATTAGTTGAGATACGTGCATCCCTTTGGCTGCTAATAGGTGTTAAATTCATAGCCCCTAGGATAAGTCAAGGTGCGCGCATCCCCTTGGTTACTAATAGGCATTAACTTCAGGGTCTCGGGAGATTAGTCGATGTGCGTACATCCCTTTGGTTGCTAATAGATGTTAACTTTAGAGTCATGGAGAATTAGTCAAAGAACTTCATAGGCCTGGGGGATAAGTCGAGGTGCACGCATCCCCTTGGTTACTAATAAAAGTTGACTTCAGGGTCCTAATCTCCTAGGAGATTAGTCGAGGTGCACGCATCCCCTTAGTTGCTAATAGGCTTTAACTTCAGGGTTTTTGGAGATTAGTTGTGGTGTGTGCATCCCTTCAGTTGCTAATAGGAGTGGATACTAAAAGATTTATCCGATTATTAATTTTAAGACTCTAAATATTAGTCGAAGTGTGCGTAAAATGAAAAAAAAAACAAAAAAAAAAAAAAAAAGGTGATATAATAAGAATAGAGCTAAAACGTTTAATTTTAATCGCGGTATCAGGGGTAATGGTATGAAGACGAACCCCGTATTATAACCAAATCCTTCGCACTCGGTGATCTTTTGAGATGTAGTTATAACAATCTCACCTATAATTTTTATATACATTATTGGTAGGCATTTGTGTGGCGCATTAATGTTTTTGAGCATGCGGATAGCGGACACATTGCTGGGCTGTGACTGGGCGTGTGACTGGGCCTTCGAAGCTACCAGTGGCCACACAGGCAAGTCCTTTCGTCAGCACGTTCAGACTGCGATAACTACCAGAGCGCCAAGCCCATGACACGAGGCGGTGTAATCTTTTGGCTTCAAATAAATAATAATAAAAAAATAAAATAAAGCTTACGCTCCGGTGGCGGTCAGGCTTTGCTGTGGCAAAAGGGCCTTTATGGCATTAATGTTTTACTAGCCAGTTACGTGACTCTTGCTGACTGGATCTTGATAGTTGAAGTTTACCATAAAAAAAGACAATTTATAACATACTCCAGTAACCTTGTTTGGTGTCTTGGACTATTGTCAGATCAACGGCTGAGAAGCCCTCAAGTAAACTATAATTACCCAGATGAAAGCTTGTTCGATTTGGTCAAGGTAAACTTAAACTGCAACGAGAACGAAAAGAAGGAGCTAGAAGTATTTGAATAAGTTTAATAATTTGTCAATGGTTATACCTTGCTTACTCCAATTGCCTACCATCTTCAATATAATCAATGAGAGATAATATTATCCATTAATAATAAATAATAATTATATTACATAATAAATAGTTATTTTGATAGCTCCAAGTCCAACTAATAACAAGCTCATACTTTTTATATAATAACAAACTTGGTTATGTGTGCTTTAATTATCCATTTAAAATAAAAAATAATAATTAGATCATAATATTGTATAAAAGTCATCTTATAAATCATTCATGTGTGATCGGAGTGTGATGATAAAAATTCTTAAGTATATTACTCAATAGGTATTGAATTCGATTCTCTCTGATTCCCCTCGATTGTAATATGAGTGGCCAATATAGAGTTACTCGATCGTTAACTTGAGTCAGATTCTCCTCGGTTGATATAAGAGTGATCACTATAGAGGGTTTGTCGGTCGTTAACTTGAGCCCTATTCTCTCGGTTGTTTACAAGGGTAAACACTGGAAGATTTACTTGGTTGTAACTCAGTACCTCGAGGGATAGTCATTAACTTCAGGACTTGGAGAATAATAGAGGTATATGTAAACTAGTCCGAACACCTCAATAAAAAAAAAAAAAAAAATAGTCCATTATAGTTTGACAAAAGTTGATTAACTAATAAATGAATATTTCATTCATATACGTCAAATAAAAAAACACCTGTGGTTAAACCTGCAATAAAATGCAGTTAATTATTAAATCTCATTAATTAACTCCATAAACGAAATATAAAAATGATTAATTAAACTACATGTCGTACTGTGGCTGCAGTGTAGATACGACCATTTTGTTTAAATGATGAAAACGAGCACGTCTCCAGTTGGCAACAAAAATTACCAAACAACCTAACTCTCCGTCAAACAAATCCCTCAGTAATAAACCCGGTCGGTTCAAGTGAACCGGTCCGGTTCAACAATTGCTTATAAATTTTGTTTCCTTACGTTCCCTCAATTTTCCATCTCTCTTATCTTTTTCTTCTTTCACAGTTTCTTCGCTGGTAAAACAACGAACGAAGGAGCGAACGCACCGACACGAATCGTCGACACGACCCGAAACATCTGTACCGAATCGTCACGATTTTCAGCTCTCATTTGCCGATATTATTATACCTATATTATTATCTCGTCCTGGACTTCAAATCTGTAAGTGTCGAAATCCCTCACCATTCGGCTGACATGAAATCCTCAGCTCAAAACGGCACGCTTTTATTTCTCGAGCCCTATAATCGATCCATTTCCGTTGATTAAATCATCGATTGTTGAAACATTCGCCGTTTATCTTATTTGGAATGATTTTTGTTTTTGATGAAAGCAATTTGGGGTTATTAAACTTTGGAAGGATTGGTGTTTATTGATATTTGATTTGGATAAGATTAAGAGCTAGGGTTAGGGTTTTCTATCGGGAAAATTGAAAGATTGAGAATTTGTTGGATTCTAGGGTTTGATTTGAATATCGTATAATAGGTGTGGGGTTAGGAGGATAATGTGTATATTGTGTGTGATTCAGAAGTGGTCTCGCCGGGTTGCTACAATGCTACCTTGGTTAGTTATTCCACTTATAGGGCTATGGGCTTTGTCACAGATTTTGCCACCGGCTTTTCGATTTGAAATCACGTCACCGAGGCTGGCATGTGTTTTTGTGCTTTTGGTTACTCTATTTTGGTATGAGATTTTGATGCCTCAGTTATCAGCTTGGCGTGTGCGTAGAAATGCACGTCTGAGGGAAAGGAAGAGGTCTGAGGCTATTGAATTGCATAAGTTGAGGAAAACTGCTACGCGGCGATGTAGAAATTGCTTGACTGCATATAGGGATCAGAACCCAGGTGGTGGTAGATTTATGTGTTCATATTGTGGCCATATTTCAAAGAGACCAGTCTTGGATTTGCCTGTGCCACCTGGGGGATTGGGGATATCCAATTCAGGGATTATTAAGGAGCTTGTTGGAAAAGGTGGGAAGATTTTGAATGGGAAGGGATGGTCTGAGAATGGATGGATGTGTGGTCAGGATTGGTTAGAAAATGGGAATTGGGTTAGTGGGTCAATTGCAGGGAAGTCTAACTATTGGCGGAAGAATGGGAGTGGGATTTTTGGAGGAGATGAGAACTGTATGGCAGAGAAGTCTTACTCTGGAGCTGTTATTTTTGCCTGCAAGTTGTTGACATCTTTTTTCTTGAGCATTAGGTGGCTTTTGAGAAAGATTTTTAGAATTAGTTCATCACATGAAGATTCTTCGTCTGATGCAGATCATAGAGGGATGATGGCTAAGAGGGGTGAAAATGAGTTAAATTACCATGAACGTAGAGGAGAGAAAGCACGCAGAAAAGCTGAGGAGAAGAGACAGGCTAGGTTAGAGAAGGAGCTTTTGGAAGAGGAAGAGCGAAAACAGAGGGAGGAGGTTGCAAGGTTGGTGGAGGAACATAGGAGACTCAGGGATGAGAAGATGGAGGCTGAAAAAGAACGAGGCATAACTTCACCTTCTGTCAAGGAGAAGGATAGTAAGAGAGAAGCGGAAAGAAAGCGTCAGGAAAGAAGAAAAGAGAGGGACAAGGGGTCTAGTAAGAGTAACTCTGATGCAGAAGAACTGGAAAAGAAAGCTGGAAAGGAAAATGAGCGGAAGCGTGATTTTGATAGGAAGAGTGAGAATGATCGGCGTGAACATCAGAAATTTGGTACAGATATTGTCAAGAGCCATGGCATGGAAACAGTACATGGTGGAAAAACTTCTGCAAGTAATTATACTCGGGAAAATGCTGGGACTAGGTACCTGGATCGTATGAAAGGTACATTTTTGTCTTCTTCAAAAGCTTTTAGTGGAGGTAGTTTCTTTGGAAAGGGTGCTAATAATCCTGTTACCGTTGCAAAAGAGAACAAGTCTATTAGTTCAGTAGATCATTTTCACCCTTCTGCCCAGAGGAGAGATTTTTATCCATCTGACCGTGCTGGGAAGTTAATACATGGAGATGATAAAAGCATCAACCGCCCTGTAAGTTGTCTTGCTACAGATTTTATTTTTCTGCATCATTTTAGTATGACAATGAAAATGTTTAACTTTCTCTTCAACACAAAATTGACAATCCTTTACCTATTAATTAAATCCCTTTTGTGCATTTTTTAGTTATAACTTAAGGTTTTGGAATCGTTGAGTTAAGAGGCTACATATTATCATATATGGTCAAGTTTTATGGTTCAATGAAGATATCTTTTTGGTGATCTCTAACAATATATATATATATAGAAGAAGGATATCAGTGTTACAATATTGAGCTGTTCACTGTAGGTGCTTGCCGAACCACAACCAAGGACTACAACAAAAAAATCATGGCAACAGTTATTCACACGTTCATCATCAGTTCCTGCTACCTCAAATACTAATGTCATTAGTAGACCAAATCCGAAATTGCCCACCGAAGTTCAAAGTCCACCATTACCTGCTCAATCGTCAGCAATGCAAACATTTGATAATCCAATCAATTTTGGGCTGCCATCACCATTTACACTATCTACCTATCCGAATGTTTCCACTGCTAGTAGTTTAGGGTTTTCTCCTGTAATTGAACCGATCTTACCTCGCGTTGGAGACGGACCTCATGAATTTATACCTGAAGAGACAGAGCTTTTTGAAGATCCATGTTATGTGCCTGATCCAATATCTTTGCTTGGGCCTGTTTCTGAGTCGCTTGATAATTTTCAACTGGACCTGGGGGCTGGTTTTGCAAAAGACATCGGATCTGAAAGGGCTCATGCTTTGAAGAATGCGTCTTTTACCTCTGAAGTCAGTAAGCCATCTCCGATTGAGTCTCCATTGTCACGATTGCGAGTTGCTGATGAAAAGCATAACAATTCTAATTGGTTTCCAAGTACACCTATGGTTCAAGATATGCACACATATCCAGTGGATGATACGAATGGAACTGAGAATGGAACATGGCAGATGTGGAACAGTTCTCCTCTTGGGCAGGATGGTCTAGGTCTGGTAGGTGGCCCCCCAAGCTGGATTTTACCCCCAGAACGGAATAGATCAAACAAGGAAGACTTTGTGCATCCTTCTTCTCAAAAGACAATGGTATCACTGTTCACAAAAGAGGACCTAGTCCTTTCTGGCACTCATTCTCCTCAGAAGGTTTTTCTTGGTAGTGGCCAGAAAGGTGGGGCATTTAGCCCTGTAACTGGTTCAAGTGATCATGATCCGTGGTTACAGAATACTTTCTTTCGGCCATTGTCGGCCAATGACCAGTTTTCTCTCAGAGCACAGGAAGATAGTACTCAAAATGAAATGATATATGGGAGTCCCAGTGGATCTGCAACTAACCATTCATTTGACCTGTCTCCAGCAAATTGTTGGTCCAAGTGAGTGCATCAAACTTTAAGACTCACTATGTTATTTTGCTATTGTACTTTCTTGATATGCATTTGAATAACAAAAATAAATAAATAAAAACNTGAGTTAAGAGGAAGAGATGGTGTATTGCAGAGGCGTTTTTGTATCATTAAAGTTGCGGTGGCTTTTGTTGCATAAAATATGGTAGTGAAAAATGAAAATGCCCTCTGTTCTTGGATTCTTCACACTCATGATTTGGGTATCCCATAAAATTAAAAGTAAAAATTTTAAAATTTTTATTTACTCATTTGAGGGTAGGCCCAGGCCTACTCTCAAATGGCCTGGGTCCGCCCCTGCAATCAGCTATAGTTTGTCATAAAGACAATTTGGTACCCAAAATGTTTAAAAATAACAATTACCCACTTTCTGTCCAAATCTATTAGTAAAGTCTGTGTAACTAAGGACAATATAGTAATTTTATATCTATTAATTTTAAATTAATCTATAAATCCCTAATTTTTTTCATTTCATTTTTCTCTTCTCTCTCTTATCTTCTTCGTTATCTCTCCTTTCTCTTTCTTTCTTTTGCTCCGTCCTTTCCCTCCTTCCTTAACTTTTTTTACTTTTCTTCACCCTCTTTTCCCTTCACTTTCTTTCCTTTCTTCTCCGTCTTTTCCCTCCTCCCCTTCTCTTTTTTCCTTTTCTTCTCCCTGTTTTCCCAAATTCATCAGATTCGCCAGAAAAAATCACCTCCCATAAATATAAACACAATTGAAATTCATCTCCATCTTAACACCACATGCAAAATTCATTCTCCATCTTAACTTCCTAATCAAATTCATCTTACATCTCAACTAAACAATCACGTAAGAAAAAAAAAAAAAATTCAAAAATCAAACCCATTGTTGAAATCTATGAAAAAGAAAAATGAAATTGTTCTTGTCTTCGTCGGGACCTCTATTAGCTCCAAACTCGCCACCAGAACCACCAAATACAAGCATCACCACCGCCACAAACCACCACAAATTTCAAACACTTCCAATCCAAATTGTACCATCTCCAACCCACAACACCAAATATTACACCAAAAAGAATATTCTTTAGAATGTTCTTTTTTTCTTTTATTATAATAATCAACAATTAATCTATTTCACTCATTATTTGTGTATATATTAATTAAATATTGGGAATGATATTTTTATTAAATAATAATTATTTTAAAAATTATACTAATTTAATAAAATTAAGCATTTATTTAATCAAATAAACATTACATTTAATATAGAAAAACATTACATCTAATATAAAATGATAAAAAAAAAAAAAAACAACAACACAAAGGTAAAATTCTATATTGATAGTAATTTAATTTTCCGAATTAGCATATTCTTCCCACAAATGATCAATTAATGCATTTCGAAGAGCATGGTGAGCCTCTGTATTCTTGATTTGTTTATGTCGAGCAATAAATTTTTGAAATCGGACATTCTCATCTACGACAATTTCAACTTCAGGAGTTGGCGCTTCCATCTGATTCTCAATCGATGCATCAACATTACGTTCATACTCGATTATCATGTTGTGCATAATAATACACGCAGTCATTATATCATGTAATACATTTTTATCCCAAAAACGTGTCGGTCCTGCCACAATTGCAAATTGCGATTGGAGAACTCCAAACGCACGTTCCACATCTTTTCTACATCCTTCCTGTTTCATTGCAAATAATTTTTTTTTGGGACACGTGGATCGTGAATAGTTTGTACGAGAGTTGACCACTTTGGGTATATACCATCAGCTAAATAATAACCCATATTATAATCTTTTCCTTGAATGCTATAATGAGCGGGAGGAGCAATACCTTGAGTTAGGTTGGCAAACAAATGAGATGCCTCCAACACATTAATGTCATTGTTGGAACCTGGCAAACCAAAAAATGCATGCCATATCCAAAGATCATAATCAGCTATAGCCTCGAGAATAATAGTTGGGGATCCACTAAGACCAGCATATTTTCCTGCCCAAGCTGTTGGACAATTTTTCCACTTCCAGTGCATACAATCTAAACTACCCAACATTCCTGGAAAACCACGTTGTTCACCAATATGAAGTAGCCTTGCAACATCATTAGCATTAGGTGATCTTAGATATCGTTTTGCAAATACCTCAACAACAGCACGACAAAATCTCTTCAAACTTTCAATGGTCGTAGACTCCCCTATTTTAATATACTCATTAGTAGCATCTATCGATAGACCATACGCCAACATCCGGAATACTGCTGTTATTTTTTGAAAAGCAGACAATCTGAGCCTACCGAGCCCATCCCTTCGTTGTACAAAGTAGTTATCATGACCATTCACCTGATCAACAATACGAATGAATAAATTGCGAGACATTCGAAATCGTCGGCGAAACATGGAATCATTAAACCGTGGATTCTCGGCAAAATAATCTTTGAACAAATTGTGATCAGCAATGTCCCGGTTGAGATTGATGACTCTATGACCAGGAATTGATCCTCTACGAATCACCTGGTTGTTCTATTGATTGAGATAGTGAAGGAGGAGGAGGTTGTTGTTAGCTCTCATGCGAAGGATTGCTTCTTGCCCTGCATCAATTGCTTCAAGATCATTCATCAATTCCTCATCATCAATTTCATTGTCGGAAAATGATGATGAATTAGAAGATGATAAATGAGATGGACCTCTAAAATTGAAATTCATCTTTGTAGATATATTAGTTGAATGATTTGGAAGTTGATCTGCGAGGTTTTATAGTTGAAGAAAACACTATTCTAGATAAAAAATAATAATTCAAAAAGATGTATTGTCCATTCAAGCTTTTGAGATTTGTGACTTATTAAAAAAGATGTATTGTCCATTCAAGCTTTTGAGATTTGTGACTTATTCAAAAAGATGTATTGTCCATTCAAGCTTTTGAGATTTGTGACTTATTCAAAAAGATGTATTGTCCATTCAAGCTTTTGAGATNTGCGGGGATGAAGGTGGCATACTTGCTAAACCTGTCCACAATGACTATGATGTTCCCGAACCCTTCAGACTTTGGCAAACACGTGATAAAGTCCATTAAGACACTTTTCCATGGTCTCTCGGGCACGACTAATGGTTGTAGCAAGCTTGCCAGTTGTTGTTGCACTACCTTGTCTTGCTGGCAAACAAGGCACGTATGCACATACCCCTCAATGCTATCCTGCATCCCAGGCCAATAGTAGGCAGATTTTAAGAGAGCAAGGGTGCGTCCCATACCTGGATGGCCTGCCCACAAGGAGTCATGACACTCCTTGATTAATTCTTTCCTCAGATTGTCCCATCTTAGGATGTAGAGGTAGTTGCCTTTGGTGTAGAGTAAGTCGTCAGTCAGCCAAAACCTCCAGGTTTTCCCTTCTTCTACCAAGGCAACGATGTTTTGAGCTAATGGCTCATGCTGGAGTCCCTGCTTGATTCGGTCAGCCAATACGCTTGTGACTTGACTAATGCTTGCCAACTCGGCCTTGTGGCTTAGTGCATCTGCCACCACATTGGTCTTGCCCGGCTTGTACTCCAAGACATAATCAAACTCGGCAAGAAAATCCTGCCATCATGCCTGCTTCGGACTCAACTTCTTTTGGGTCTGAAAGTAGCTCATCGCAACGTTATCTGTTAAAGTAACAAACTTAGACCCAAGCAAGTAGTGTCGCCATACTCTAAGGCAATGGATGATGGCTGTCATCTCCTTTTCTTGCATGATGTAACGTCGCTCGGTCTCATTGAGCTTTCGACTCTCGTAAGCAATCGGATGCCCATTCTGCATGAGTACTCCCCTGATGGCAAAGTCGGATGCATCGGTGTGCACTTCATATGGCTGAGTATGGTCTGGAAAGGCAAGCACAGGTTCCTTGCTGATTGCAGCTTTCAACTCCTCAAAGGCAGCTTGACATTTATCAGACCATTCCCACAGCTTGCTCTTCTTGAGTAAGTCTGTCAACAGGGCCGCTTTTGCCGAGTAGCCTTTAATAAACTGGCGGTAGTAGTTTACTAATCCAAGGAAAGATCGTAACTTCGGCACTTTGGTGGGTGTTTCCCACTCTTGAATGGCCTGCACCTTGTTATCCTCCATCATAAGCTATCCATCCTTGATCTTGTGACCCAAGAACATTACCTTCGGCTTAGCGAAAGAGCGTTTCTCTTTCTTGATATACAACTTGTTGTCTCGCAAGACTTGGAATAGTTCCCTAAGGTGCTGCATGTGCTCCTCCCAAGTTTTGTTATACACCACTATGTCGTCTAGATAGACCACCATGAACCGGTCGAGGTAGAGATGGAATATCTTATTCATCAAAGTGCAAAAAGTGGCTGGTGCATTTGTTAGACCAAATGGCATGACCAAAAATTCATAAGACCCATACCTTGTAACGCAAGTGGTCTTTGGCTCGTCGCCTTCGGCTATGCACACTTGATAGTAACCTGACTGTAGATCCAGTTTGGTAAAGTAGCGGGCATGCCCCAACTGATCAAAAAGATCGGCAATCAAAGGAATGGGATAGATATTTTTCACAGATACCTTGTTGAGTGCTCGGTAGTCTATGGACATGCACAAGGAACCATCCTTCTTCCTTTGAAACAAAACTGGTGCGCCATAGGGAGCTTTGGAGGGCTTGATGAACCCTGCATCTAGTAGTTCCCGTAACTGCCTCCTTAGTTCCGCTAGCTCTGGTGGTGCCATACGGTAAGGACTCTTGGCAGGTGGCTTGGCGCCTGGCTTCAGCTCAATCTGATGGTCTACCTCCCTTCTAGGTGGTAGCTCCTTTGGCAGCTCGTTTGGTGAGATATCAACAAACTCCTTGAGTACTTGTGCTACCTCCCGGGGCACTGCCTCTGGCGGGATTGGCTCCTCGTCGTCATATTGCTTAAGGATGGCCAAGTAGCTTTCCTCTTTCTTCTTGATGCCTTTCTTGAACTACATAGCCGAGAGTGTCGCTGTCTCCAGCTTGGTAGAGTGGCTAGTGGGCAACACACAAGCTTGTTCCCTGTCCATGATACACATGGTGTTG